GGGAGAACCACCATTGCCAACCTGAAATCAGGGTAAGGTGGGGAAGCCGGTTCAGGGAGGTCAGGGTCTGTGCTGGAGTCTAGCCGTTTAACAGGGAGGGGTGCAAGGGGGAGCACTGGGGGAGGGGTGGCTGAGGCCGCACCAGAGGCTGGGGGACCTGAGGACTTGGGCTGGAGACAGAGGAGGTGGATGTCTGCTGGGGATGCCCGGGCATGACCAGATCCAGAAGCAGCTGTGTGACCGCAGGCCAGGGGAAAAATGGCAGCGGGCAATTGGGGGGAGGGGGGCAGTGTAGCCAGTGGGCAGGGCAGGAAGAGATGACCTCTTTTTTTTTTTTTTTTGAAGATTTTATTTATTTGACAGAGGGGGAGAGAGAGAGAGAGAGAGAGAGTACAAGCAGGGGGAGCGGCAGGCAGAGGGAGAGGGAGAAGCAGGCTCCCTGCTCAGCAAGGAGACTGATGCGGGGCTCGATCCCAGGACCCTGGAACCATGACCTGAGCCAAAGGCAGACACTTAACAGTCTGAGCCACCCAGGCGCCCCAAGAGATGACCTCTTGGGGACATTTCAGCTGCAGTGGAATAATCTTGGGGCCTGGACAACGTGGAGTGTGGGGCCTGCCCTGCGAAGGGGTCAGTGCTAGAAGACCCGTGGCAGGAGAGGGGCCCTGTACCAGGGGCTGAATTCACAGTGGGAGGTTGGGGGTTGTCTGAGTGCGTTCCTGTCCCCAGTGGCTCCATGTACCCCTGTGCCCCACCCAGGAACAACCTGCTATGGTTGCACACCTCCTTCGCCTTCCTGTACCTGCTGCTCACCGTCTACAGCATGCGTAGACACACCTCCAAGATGCGCTACAAGGAGGATGACCTGGTGAGCAGAGCAGAGCCCTGGCCTACCCTGCCCCCAGCCTCTTGCCTTCCCCCCGGGCCTCGCTTGCCTGGGCCCTAAGGAGTGTCCACACCAGGGTGGGGCCATCTGGGTTCCGATCCTGGCCCAGCAGCTCAAGAGGCCCTATCCTGCACGTTAAGTCACCTCCCCAAGCCTCGGCTTCCTCATCTATAAAATGGGACAACAGAACCTTCCTGAGGTCGGTGGGAAGGTGAAGTGACGCGACCCGTGGAAAGCACCCGTGCTGTGCCTGGCCCTCAGGAAACAGCCGTGGTGATGCTGTGGTAGTGACATGCGCTTGTCTGCATTCATCACCAGGCCAGCCACTGTGCCGGGCCGTTACGGCCTGAGGGTCAGGGAGTCATCCCCCCTTCCCCTCGATGACCCCCTCGGGAGCAAGGGGCCAGGTGGCTCTTTCATTAAGCTCGCTGCCTGATTAGATACCCTCCCCCTGCTTTCCCTGGCACGTGGCTTATCCCTAAGGCCTCCTCCCACCTGTTCAGCTCCCTGTTCCCCGCACCCACCTGGCATGTTCTCGAGCCTTCTCCTCCAGAAGGCAGACCCACCCCCCTCTCACCCCAGGTGAAGCGGACTCTCTTCATCAATGGAATCTCCAAATATGCAGAGTCAGAAAAGATCAAGAAGCATTTTGAGTGAGTGGCCACGCCTACCCCAAACCCCAGGTCCTGTGGGCCCTTCTTTGCCTTTCGGCCCCTCAGACTTCTCACACCTCCCACTGAGGTCTGGGGCTGATGTGGGGGTGGAGGTGAGACCACGGAAGAATGACGTGAGTCCAGGGCATTCCAGCACTTGGGCTGGGTGAGAGGCCCCCGCAAGAACAGGGGAAATACAAGAAATACTTGAAAAGTGAGAGAAGTGTGGTCCTATCCCCCCTCCCCCACCCCACCTCTCCTCCCAGCTTGAACTGGGTCATGCATTGTTGACCCGGGGTCCATGGGCCCTTTGAGGTGTGTGGCTTCAAACTTTTGTGTGACATTCTGGGGTTTGTGTGCAGACTGGCTTTCAGCGGATCCTGAGGGAGCCCAGGCGCGCATGTTCGCCAAGCCTCTTTCCAGCTCTGGAGTTCTGTCTTGTGGAGAGGGGGGTATACACCTTCAGGAGGGCCAGGTGGCCGGGACGGTATGTGTACAGGATTAGGGATCCTGTCACACGTTCATCTGTACACTCGGCAGACTTTCTCAGATGATATTAGGCCGGAGTCACTGCGGTGGGCCTTGGGACCACAGAAATCAACAAAAGATCATTGAGCTCTCAGGGGTTCGCACAGTGGAAGTGAGCCTTAGGAGCCGGTACAGGGTCTGATCAGAGGTTTGGTCTGAGGTCGGTCTGTGGCCAGAATTAGGAGTTAGCCAGTGGCCCTGATAAGGGACCTTGGTGGTCAGGATCAGGACTTTGCGAGGTCTCGGTCCACCGTCCGTCGGCCTGGATCAGAAGTCCGTCGGCCTGGGTCAGAACAGGATTGCGGGGCAGTGTCTAGTCAGGGTCGGATTGCAGACCACTTTGTTGCAGGCCAGTGAGCGGTTTGCGATCCCCGATAGCGGATGGGTACTCATTCGTTCACCGTGCATGTCTTGTCACCTTCTACACTCCAAGCGTACGCGAATTAGAAACAGGCCCTGCCCTCCCAGAAGTTACAGAACAGCGGTCAAAATTAGATCATCCTCAGTCAGTACGAGAACGACTTAGGGATCCTATCTGGAGTCCAAGCTGTGATCAGCATTAGGGGGCAGTCTGGGTCAGGATTAAGGAACGTGTGTGCTCAGAATTAGGTGACATCTTAATATTACTGTCCTGTTGGAATCAGCTGTCAGCTTGGACTGGTAAGTCTTTAATGACAAATACTTGTTGAGTACCTGCCATGTGCCTGTGCTGGAGTAGGAGCTGGGGTTTCAGCAGTAAACAAACAAAAAAATAAGAAGCCTCTGCCCTCACCTGCTCCCATTCTGGTGGGCGAGGCAGATAATAAATAAATGAACTAGTAATAGACACCTTGTCAAGCAGGGTAGGTGCCCAGAAGAAAACCAGAGCAAGGAGAGGAACAGCGTGAAGGAGTCAGGAAGGGGTGCTGTTTCCAGTAGGGTGCGCCGGGGGACTCTGACAGGGCCCTGCCTGCAGTGAGGAAGTGAACCGCGTGAACCAGGCATCCACTCAGCACACATTTGTTGTACCCCTACTGTGTGCTTCATAACAGACCTGATGTGTCCGTGAGGAGCTCGTGGTTCAGGTTGTCTGTTTCAGGGGTCAGCCTGTGGTTTTGTTTAGGAAGCAGACTGTGATTAAAATTAGTGGTCAGCCTTTAAGCAGGAGTGGGGGAGACTGTGGTCCTAATTGGGGTTTGGGGGATCAAGGGGGTGAGCATGAGGGAACGACCATCTCATTGATCCATTCGTTCAGCACGTGTTTATTGAGCACCTACTATGTCTAAGCTGTTGGCCCAGGCCTGATGTATGGTGAGGAGTAGGGTTTGTGATCCAGGTCCGTGGTCTGTCTGGATTAGGGGACCACCCCAGCAGAATTAGGGAATTTCCTGTGTGTAAAATCAGAGAGCCTGTGTGGTGGGGATTAGGGGGTTAGAGATGAGTCGGGTGAGCACGAGGACTTAGCCTGCCACAGGGCTGAAGGCCCTTCCAAGGAAGAGCCCTAAAATAGTTGGAGCGACACGGTGTCTGGGGAAAGGTCCGCAGAGCATTTCAAGGACCCCATCCCAGATTCAAGTTTCCAAATTCTCGTGGATTGCACCATCCATCTTGTTTCTTTAGAACCAGATCTTGCGCACCTTTAACACTTGGTGGTTCTTCATTAAAAAGCTTTTTGTTTTGTTTTGTTTTTTAAAGATTTTATTTATTTATTTGACAGAGAGAGAGACACAGTGAGAGAGGGAACACAAGCAGGGGGAGCAGGAGAGGGAGAAGCAGGCTTCCTGCTGAGCAGGGAGCCCTGAGCCAAAGGCAGACGCTTAACGACTGAACCACCCAGGCGCCCCTAAAAAGTTTTTTAAAAGACGGGCTTCAGTCTAGATTAGGGAGCAGGGAGCAGTGTGTGATGAGAAGTAAGAAGGAACTGCTTCTTCCTCCATGAGCAAGCGCCCCTTGAGTGCCCCAGGTACCAGGACTGAGAGTCACAGTCTCTCTCTGCTCAGTTTCAAAGCAAGGTTAGGGTCAATCCCGGGTCAGGGTTAGAAAGTCAGTCTTGGATCTGGGTTATGGGTGAGTTTGGATCCCAGTAAAGGGTCAGTTTCAGGTCAGCGTTCAGGATCCATCTCTGGTCAGTCTTGAGACGAGGATCGTTCTGTAGACTGGGCTGTGGGTTGGCTGGGGTCAGTTCATGGTCAAGGCTAAGTGTTGAACTGTAACCAGGTATTCTGGAAACAGGGTTAAGAGAACAGCCCATGAGTAGAAACAGTTTCTGTCGGCTGTAAGTTCGAGCTCTGGACATGAATCAGGTCACAGCCGTGGCCTCCCTGGTGCCAGCCACGCAGGTGTACTCTCACATCCTGGCTCATTGCCATGTGCACAAGGCCCCCGAGCCTTCATGCTTCCTGCTGCTCACATGAACACGGGGAGGAATTTCAAAGATTTACTCTTATGGAACTCCCATTTTTGTAGACCAGACAGAAGGAGCTTGAATTCGGGGTGTGTTGTCTTATTAAAGGTGATGGGGTCATGGCTACAGGGTGGGGGCAGGTGGGCAGGGACCCCGCAGAAGATGATGGTGGACTGTGTTTCAGGGAGGCCTATCCCAACTGCACGGTTCTTGAAGCTCGCCCATGTTACAATGTGGCTCGTCTTATGTTCCTCGATGCTGAGAGGTAATGGGGGGGATGACACGGGCGGGGCCTCTGCCTACTGTGGAAGGCATCTTGGCTGCCTCATGGGAACCTGGCTCCCCTTCCAGGTGTTTCCCAGGGCATTTGATTTTAATTCAACCCCTGGAGTGCCTGTCAGTTCAGCTCTGGAAAGAGCAAGGCTTAGAGGTTAGAGTTCATTGTGAGAGGAAAGGGGTCCACCATCCCCACCCCATCTGAGGACATACCCTTCTTCAGCTGCAGTTTAAGAAACTTAGGCCAAACCATAGGAAGAATTTCTGGCCCTCAGGAGGTGGGTGGGAAGACCCTTGAATATCTGAACCATGCTTTCTAAGCAGATCCAAGAATAAGCTCACCCCTGTCCTTAGGGAGTGGACTTAGATGACCCCTGAGCTGAGCTCCCTACCCACCCTCCCAGCCATTCCTGGCCCCAGCCGGGCCAGCGGGTGACCGGGCACCTGGGTCTCACAGGAAGAAGGCCGAGCGGGGGAAGCTGTACTTCACAAACCTCCAGAGCAAGGAGAATGTCCCCACCATGATCAACCCCAAGCCCTGTGGTCACCTCTGCTGCTGTGTGGTGCGAGGCTGTGAACAGGTACGAGATGACGCCAGGCCCCCAGAGCTCCTGCTGGGTATGGGGAAGAGGTAGACAGATCCCGGGAAGCCCCGTCACAGTAGAGATGAACACATTCCAGGCCCGGGTCCCGTGACCCTGGGAACATACACACAAATGGGTCTTGCACATAACTAACCAAAGGTAAACAGACTCCCAGAGCAGGCAAGGCCATGCCAGGATTGGGGGGGCAGCCAGGACTGGGAGCAGGGTGCAGCCCCGCCCTCAGGTCCCCACCTGGTCCTGCAGTCCTCGAAGCCCCAGTTCCCCTATTGGGTTCGTCCCCATCCCTGCAGTGACCAAGTTTGCAAAGCCCAAATCAGTAAGGGGTCAGCCAAGAGAACAGCACTGTGCTGTATTTACTGGCTCTGTGGCTTTCGGCGAGTTTCTCGCCTGCTCTGTGCCTCAGTTTCCTCCTCTATAAGATGGGGCTAATGGTACCTACCTTGGAACTGTCATGAGGATTACACGAGTTAACACGTAGAAAGCCTACAGCAGCGCCCAGCCTGGAGTAAGCCCCAGGTCCGTGCCGCTGGGTGTGCTGGGGAGCGGCCTGGCTCTCTGACTGGAGCACCCCCCTCACTCACTCGCCCTCTGCAGGTGGAGGCCATCGAGTACTACACGAAGCTGGAGCAGAAGCTGAAGGAGGACTACAAGCGGGAGAAGGAGAAGGTGAACGAGAAGCCTCTTGGCATGGCCTTTGTCACCTTCCACAATGAGACCATCACCGCCATGTGAGCCCCTGCCCTGCCTGCCCATCCCCGTCCTTGTCCCCCAGGGACCAGCGGGAGCTCCCGGGTCCCCGTGCTCAGGGCCGGCCAGTGGCAGTAACCAGTGCCCCTCCCCCAGCATCCTGAAGGACTTCAACGTGTGTAAGTGCCAGGGTTGCACCTGCCGTGGGGAGCCGCGCGCCTCGTCCTGCAGCGAGTCCCTGCACATCTCCAACTGGACTGTGTCTTACGCCCCCGACCCCCAGAACATTTACTGGTGAGCGCAGCACGGCGGCCGGGGCAGGCTTCGCGGGGCCCGGTGGCTCCAGCAGGCGGACGGGAGGAGAGGGCAGTCTGGGGTGGCCCCAGAACGACCCTCTCCCCCACCTTCCCAGGGAGCACCTGTCCATCCGGGGCTTCCTCTGGTGGCTGCGCTGCCTGGTCATCAATGTCGTCCTCTTCATCCTCCTGTTCTTCCTCACCACCCCGGCCATCATCATCACCACGATGGACAAGTTCAACGTCACCAAGCCTGTGGAGTACCTCAATGTGAGGCCCGGTCCCCACCCCGCTCCCCCCGTGCTGCGGTGCGAGACACAGATACCAGGCCTTGAGTCCCTCTTTGGGGGTGGGGCGGTGGGGGAAGCCAGAACGCCCTCTGGCCTGGCTAGCTCCGGTTCTGCTTTCCCAGGGCAGCCCCGCCGACAACCCCCCCACGACAAAGGGCTGCAGAGCCCTCTGGGAATGTCCCTTGGGCTCCCCGCCACCCTCCCCCTCGAGACACCACCCCTGGGGTCGCGTATACCTAAAGAGACACCAGGGAAGAGAGCAAGCGCAAAGCCAGTTTTAACTGACCATGCGACCTCAGACAAGCCCCCTTCTCCTCACCCCCCCACCTCACCGACAGAGGAACGGAGGTTCGGACCAGAGCACTGGCTTCCGAACTTAGATGCGGACGCCTTTATCGAAAGGACTCTTAACGTGAACCCCAGTGTGGAAAAGCAAGGCTGCTCAGAGGGCCGTAGAGGGAGGGGTCATTTTCACCAGCTCCTCCTTGGCCCAGCTCCTTGGAGCCTCAAAGTCCCGAGTTAGACAGTTTGAAAATTCCTGAGTGATAAGAGCAAAATACACCAGACCCAGTCGGCCTGGGTTCACATCCCCACCTCACCGCCCGACTAGCTGGGTAACCTGCTGACACTCTTTTTGCCTTAGTTTGCTCATCTGTAAAATGGACTAATAGCATTGTTGGGAGGATCCATACACGTAAAGCCCATGACCAGTGCCTGGCACTTAGGAGGTAGTCTGCAAATGCTAACTATCAGAGTAACTCACCCTGCGGTGGTACTCATGAGCCCGGCCCCCACCCTCGCCCTGGCCCTGCACATGTTCTGGACATCTGCCACGGGGCCCCGAGAGCCGGGGGGCCTGGGGCTCAGCGGGGGAGCGGGCAGGTAAGCAAAGCAAGCTAGACGGCGGCCCGCTAGACGGCCCCCGCCTGAAACGTCCCCCTGTGCCCTGCTGCAGAACCCCATCATCACTCAGTTCTTCCCCACCCTGCTGCTGTGGTGCTTCTCGGCCCTGCTGCCCACCATCGTCTACTACTCTGCCTTCTTCGAAGCCCACTGGACACGGTGAGACGCCTCACACGCCCTGCACCCTGGCCCTCCTAGGTGTATGGCCGTCCCAGGTGGGCAGCACTTTCCCCTTCGGCCTCCCTGCCCCGGGCAGTCCCAGAGCTGCCAGAGAAGGGAGGCTGGCCAGCATCCTCACACTGGGAGGCCCCCGTCCCAGCAGATAACCATCCCGGCTGGGGGAGCAGGCCTGGGGGCTGGTTCACCTGACCCCTGCCCCTGTGCCCCCCGCCGCAGCTCCGGGGAGAACAGGACCACCATGCACAAGTGCTACACCTTCCTCATCTTCATGGTGCTGCTCCTGCCCTCGCTGGGACTGAGCAGGTGGGTTACAGAAGACGGGACAGGAGCCGGGGTGGGGGGGTAGGGGGTTAGGATGGACGAGGGGAGCAGTTCAGGCTCCCACTTCCCTTACAGAGGTGCTGGGGGGCGTCCCCAGAGGCTCATGGACTAGACTCCTCCTCCCCTGGTGTTCTGGGCCATTCCAGCCCCCCACCACACCTCTCCACTCCTCCTCTCCAGCCTGGACCTCTTCTTCCGCTGGCTCTTTGACAAGAAATTCTTGGCGGAGGCAGCTATTCGGTTTGAGTGAGTAACCTGGGCCCCCAGGGAAAGAGCCCAGAGGGCGGGGGTGGGTATGTCTGAGACACACTGGAGGTGGTGGTGGGGGGAGCTCACCTGGCGTGGCAGGGTCATCCCTAAGATTACACCACAGTGCTCAGGTATAGACGTGGGAGATGTCCCTGGGGTCTGTGTTGGGGCTCATTCCCTGGGAACCCATGTAGAGGTCACCGTCAAGGTATATTTGGGGCTTTGGGACCCACACTGGGGGATTTCTGTGACAGCCTGTAGAGCTTGTATTCTGGGACTAACTCTAGGAGTCAAGTTTTACTCAAGGAGCTTTGGAGAGACGTCTGTAGTAGGATCTTGGTCATACTTTGGGAGTGATTTGGGGGTACCCCTGAAGGTCCCTGGAGCCCACACTTTTAAGTATCTATGGAAATCTCGGGCTCACAACTCTGGACTACTTATGGGGAACTCTGGAGCTCATACTTGGGGTGTTTATGGGGCACAAGTCATGGGAAGACCTCTGCAGTCTCAGGCTTTTATCCAGAGGAGTGACCGTGGAGTTCCTTACAGGGTACCTTTTATGGGAAGCCCTATAAGGCTGTTCGGGGGTGGGGGGATGGAGGGCCATGTACCGTGGCTATATATATGGGCACAAGCTCTAGGGGTCTTGCTCTAAGCCATCTGTAAAAATCTTGGGCTCACACGGGCATTGACAAAGGTTCTTGGATTCCCCACCCTGAAGAATTCCAAAGGTTCTTGGATTCCCCACTTCCTCTTTGAGGAAGGGTCTGTGGACTTTGTGTTCTGGAGGTGTCTGAGGCTCACACTCTGGGGGTAACTGTGGCTTAATTTAGGGTCTTAGGGGGTCCTTTCTGGGTAATCCTAGGGTGCACACTCTTAGGGGTCTTTGAGGGTCTCACGGGCTTTGTCTGTGGGGATCTCAGGCAGTCATCCCCTGAACACTTGGTGACCTTAGGGGTTTGGAGCGCCCTCCATGGGTCTTTATAGGGCACAAGTTCTCGGGGCACCTCTGGGCTCACACTCTCAGGTTGGATCCACTCACACTGAGGGTGTTGGAGGTGTCTGTAGACACTCTGGCATCTGCCCCTGGGGTTCACGCTCCGGGGGCACTGGGGCACGGGTGCTTGCGAGCTGAGCTGGGGTGTCCGCATGAAGGAAGGCGCGTCGGGGGTCGAGGTGGTGCTGGCAGTGGGCAGGCAGCCACGGGGCCGCCCGAGGGGGGCAGCGCTGGAGCACTTGGTGCCCGCAGGTGCGTGTTCCTGCCCGACAACGGCGCTTTCTTCGTGAACTACGTCATTGCCTCAGCTTTTATCGGCAACGCCATGGACCTGCTGCGCATCCCAGGCCTGCTCATGTACATGATCCGGCTCTGCCTGGCGCGCTCTGCCGCGGAGAGGCGCAACGTGAAGCGGGTACGGCCGCCTGGGGCCGCAGCGGCTCGCGCAGCGCCCCCTGGTGCGACCAGCCTGAAACAGCGGCAGCCGTGCTAGGGTGTGGGGGCACAGGGGTGCTGGAACTCGGGGGATCCAGTTCCGCGGCCCTGGGCTATCCCCTTCCTATCTGGAGCCTCAGTTTTCCCATATGTGCGGCGATGGATCAACATAGATAACCCTGCCACTCCTGACAGTCTAGTGTTCCGATGGGAGTTGGGGGAGGTCCGGGTCCCTAGACCTAGGGTCTCTGTGCCCTAACCCCACACGAGGGCTCTGGGCATCCCACCCCCAGGCCTACCCACCTGCCAGCCCCTGATCTCTCAAAGGTCCTCCCCAACCCATGGCCCATCACTGTACCCACCCTGACCTCCATCTCAGCCACAGCCCCTCTTTCCATCTGCTTTGCCCTGCCCCACCCTGGATATTGGGTTTCTTTTCCCCATGGCTTCGTTCCTGGCCCCCTGCCCCCTCCCACCTGCCCTGCGCCCTTCTAGCCTGTCCCTCCCCTCCCTGAGCCACCCTCCTGCCCATCTCCCCCCCAGCATCAGGCCTACGAGTTCCAGTTTGGCGCAGCCTACGCCTGGATGATGTGCGTCTTCACGGTGGTCATGACCTACAGTATCACCTGCCCCATCATCGTGCCCTTCGGTAGGCACCGCCGCGCCGGGACCTGGGCCCTGCTCGGGGGGACCCAGGACCTCACCCGCTTCACTCCAGTAAGGCAGGCCGCCCTGAGTGGACAGGGCCCCGGCTGGGAGACCGGCCCCTCGGGCCTCCCGCCCGGTCCCTGCCTCAGTCTGGGGCCCGGCCTTGGGGGGAGGAGGGGGAAAGCCATCTCAGCTCAGGCCGGCCCCGGCTGGTGTGCTGGGCCCCTGGGCAAAGTCACCCCAACATGGCCATACTCATCCACACCGGGTGCCTTCACTCAGCTGATGCACTTAGACACACATCACATACCCACAGCCGTGTTTGTGCGCGCACGCACACACACACACACACACACACTCCTACACAGGGTCTGCCGGTACACTTGGAGACAGTCCCATAAGCTCAAGAAAGACCTTTGGATTCCAGGGTGGGGTTGGGCTCTTGCCACTCACAGAGATGGTAACCCCACTGTAGCTGAGCTCTGCGCCTTGGACACGTCCCGCTTCCTTCTGAAATTTAGCAGAGTTTCTCCACAGCTGTCACCCTACCCGTTCCCTCTGTTTTCCCCCTTGTTACATCCTAACCCCTTAACCACCATCCCCGGTGATCGAAGGCTCCAAACTCCCAAACTAACCTCCTTGTCCTTTCAAAAGCTCCCATTCCCTCAGCCCCCAGGAAAACAGAACTTACCACCTCATGTATACTCATCTGTGTAGGGACAGGGTAGAAAAAAACACTAAGTTTCAAGAAGAAGCTCACTGACCCCAACGAACGGACTTCTAACAGTAGGCCTTTCAGTGAGGGGCTGCGGGATGAGGTGGGGAAGCTAGGAAGCTGACACTGTGATCCTGTGATGGGCCTGGGGCTCTGTCCTGTACCGGGGGGCTCAGGCAGGAGGAGGGGGGCCAGCCCTTCAGCCATCTTGGAAGGACTAGGCCAAGCTGTGACGGACACACGGAGGTCCGGTGTCACTGGTTCCGAGGTCAGGGCCCGTGTGGCTTCCCCCAGGGCTCATGTACATGCTCCTGAAGCACCTGGTAGACAGGTACAATCTCTACTACGCCTACCTGCCGGCCAAGCTGGACAAGAAGATCCACTCAGGGGCCGTGAACCAGGTGGTGGCCGCGCCCATCCTCTGTCTCTTCTGGCTGCTCTTCTTCTCCACCATGCGCACGGGTGAGGGCCGCCCCCACGCACCTCAGGGAGTGGCAAGGTCGGTGGGCGGAGGGCCTCCATCCGGAGTCCGAGGCAGAGCAGGCCGTGGGAGGGGCCGTGATGGCCAAGGGCCACAGGCAAGGAGCCTGGGAGAAGCCAGGTCAGGCGACAGCACAGAGGAGTGCAGGACGGCGTTCAGAAGGTAGCCAGAGTCGGGTGGTGGGCCCCTGGGAGGGGGTGCCCAGAGGAGAGGTAGCAGCCCCATCCTTTGCCCCCCCGCCCCACCAGGGTTCCTAGCCCCCACGTCCATGTTCACATTCGTGGTCCTGGTCATCACCATCGTCATCTGTCTCTGCCACGTCTGCTTCGGACACTTCAAATACCTCAGTGCCCACAACTACAAGGTGTGGGGCAAGGGGGGCAGGGGATGGCTGAGGGCGAAGCTCAAGGGGGTGCAGGGGAGCAGGGGGACGGATGGGAGCTGAGGGCAGGGGCAGCAAGGGTGTCAAGAAGGCGTGGGGTCATGATGGTGGCTGAGGGCAAAGACCTCTCCCCACTCCCTGACTCATTCTGGACCCCTCAAGATTGAGCACACGGAGACAGATGTCGTGGACCCCAGAAGCAATGGACGGCCCCCCACTGCTGCCGCTGTCCCCAAATCTGCGGTGAGTACCCTGATTCATGGCCAGGGGTGGAGAGGAGCCTCTGATTGAGGCTCTGTCCAAAGCCAGGGGTCCCATTAGTCCTCCAGAAAGTGAAGCCCATTCCAGCTCCCAGGGGCAGGGAGAGATCTGGCTTCACTGAGGGGACTGCCCACCTCTCCCTGGGGGGAGGATCACTGTCCCGCTCCCTGGAGACCCTGAGATTCCCCAGTCAGTCCCTCCCATGAGGAACAGCTGTCCACCCTCACCCTCTACTCCTTTCCCCTTCAGAAATACATCGCTCAGGTGCTGCAGGACTCAGAGGTGGACGGGGACGGGGATGGGGGTCCTGGGAGCTCAGGGGATGAGCCCCCGTTGTCCTCGTCCCAAGATGAGGAGCTGCTGATGCCACCTGATGGCCTCACGGACACAGACTTCCAGTCTTATGAGGACAGCCTCATAGAGAATGAGATTCACCAGTAAGGGGAGGGAGGGGCCCTGGAGGCCACGCCCTGCCCCCACCCGCACCCCCATGGACACTAAAAAAAAAAAAAAACGCTAATAATTTATTAGGTCTAAAGCCCCTTCCTCCCCCATCCCCTGCTTTCATTAAGGTATTTAAACCTGGGGATCACACCACTCTCCCCCACCATGGAGGGAGGGAGGGAAACCCCAACCTCAGTGAGGAGAGCCCCGAGCCGGACCCGGGGCAAAGAGGGGTGCGGACAGGGTTCCCCCAGATCAGTGCCCCCCACGCTAGTAGTGTGGTCAGGAAAGGGTTATTGAGAGCCAAGAGGGGTACCTGGTGCCGAGGCTGGAGACCTGGAGGGGGGGTGGTGCAGGCAGATCAGGGGCTGCCCGCCCCATTCTTTCCTCCCCCCAAGGCCCCCTGGGACCTGGCGCTCCAGGAAGTGGCGCCTCCAGCCCCTGTGGGTTGCATGAGGGGGAGGGGCTGCAGAGTGGGAGGAAGCGACAGGCCCCCAGCCAGGGAGGTGACCTAGGGGTGGGGGGCGGGCATGGCTGACACTGGAACAATGGGTTTTTGCACTGTTTTTTTTTTTTTTTCCTTTAAAATAAAAACGAAAAGAAAAGCTCTGAGGCAGGTGTCTGATTTGCGCTGCTGCCCTGGGCACATGGGCTGGGGACTGAGGAGCACCCTGCTCTGGATCTGGAGGGCCTGTTCGGTGCCTGGGCAAGAGACTTCTGCTGTGGGACCTCGGTTTCCCCAGGGAGAGGAGAGAATGGGCCCGGGAGACTTGAGGGGATTCGCAGGCAGGAGGGGCCTGCTGTGGTCACACTGGCACCTCCCTCAGCTCAGTCTGAGGGACGGGGGGACACACACCCACTTTCTGAATCCCCAAGAGCCACACAAATGGGATGGAGATTCAGGGAGAAAGGCCAAGCAAAACCACACGTTCTCCACTGGTCCAGGAAGAAGGCTTCCTGGAGGAGGAAGATCCCAGGAGAGCTCCTTCTAGAACACTCTGTAGGTGGTTCTGGAGGGGAGAGGCAAGAAAACAGGGCCGCAGTAGCCCACTAAATAATATCATTATTTGTTGTCATTGCTGCTACAACTTCTTGAGCAATTGTTATGTGCTGGAATTGTGCCAAGTGACTGTATTATGTGTGCGTGTTTTTTTTTTTAAAGATTTTATTTACTTAGAGAGTGAAAGAGAGCACAAGAAACGGGGTAGGGTCAGAGGGAGAAGCAGACTCCCCGCTGAGCAGGGAGCCCTATGCAGGACTCGATCCCGGGACTCCAGGATCATGACCTGAGCCGAAGGCAGTAGCCTAACCAACTGAGGCACCCAGGCGTCCCTGTATTATGTGTTTTAAGGCATTTACTCCTTAGAGAGCTTGCTCTAGGGTCAGGCGTGGGTCTACTGTGAGGATTACATGAGATAAGATATGCCAAGTGCCCACTTGGCCCAGCACCTGGCCCGTGGAAAACACCCAATAAATGTCAACTATAATTAGTGCTGTGATCATTAATAGTACCTACAAAGTGGGTGTGGTTTCCCTCTTCTTATGGAGGCTTGGGAAGGCTATGGGGTTTGTCCAAGGTCACTGGCCTGGAAGGAGTCTTGGAAAAGTCCTTCTGAGTATCTCAGTGAGCCAGGCCCCCCACCCATCTGTCCCTTCCCCCTCAGGAGTGCCTGAGGCCCCGAAAAGCCTCCTGCCAGCCAAATCTTACCCATCCCCAGACCCAACCGTATTCCACCTTCTGTAAGAGATTTCCTGTGGCCACTCTAGCCCACCCTCCAGAGGCCCTCCCAGCCACGTGGCCACGAGCACTGTATCCTGCATGTACAGTGGGTCTCCTGAGAGCCGGGAACTCCAGTCTTGGTTCTGTCACTGATGCGCTGTGCAACCCAGGGAAGGCCACCTCTCCTCTCTACACATACCTGCTCATCAATAAAACCAAGGAGTAAGACCAGATGGCCCAAAAGGCCCAGAAGCATCCTGCCCACCCATTACCCACCACCCATCAGCATGAACCAGAGAAGAAGGTGAGTCAAGGAACGCCCAGAGGAGAAAGGAGGAGAGACCCCGTGGGGGAGGGGGGGCAGGCATGCAGGAGGGGGAAGAGAAAAAACAGGTATCGCGAAGGCTTGCAGACAGGCAACCAGAAATGACAAAGAGCAGGGACAGGGAACACGGCACAAAGCCTGTCGAAGATCGCCCAGGCACTGGCAAGGGGCAGGAGGCACACGGTGTGTGGGGTTCACCCATCCCCCAGGCTGCGGAGAGATGCCCCCTGCCCGACACACGTGGCTTGGAAGGCCCACGTTCCCTTGTGGCCAGCAGTGGGCAGCTTGGTCCAGGCGTCAGCCTTCATGTGTATGACAGATCCAGTCTTTTTTTTTTTTTAAGATTTTATTTATTCATTTGAGACAGAGAGAGAAAGAGAGAGAGAGCAGAGGGTGGGGCAGAGGGAGAGAGAGAAGCAGACTCCCCACTGAGCCAGGAGCCCTGATGAAGCGGGGCTCGATCCCAGGAGCTGGAGGCAGATGCTTAACCATCTGAGCCACCCAGGCGCCCCACGACAGACCCACAGTCTTGTGAGATGTGGCCCTCCAGGCGGAGTCCCCAAGGTCTCAGGGCTGGGGAGCAGAGTGCCAGCCGGTGGGTGGGCAGAAACCAGCTGTGAATTTGGAGCAAGGAACACACAGCAGGCCCCGGAGGCTGCAAAGAGCAGTCTGGCCCTTGATCCCCCCATGAAACCCATTCAAATTTTTGACTGTTCAGGGGCGCCTGGGTGACTCAGTTGGTTAAGTGTCTGCCTTTGGCTCAGGTCATGATCCCGGGGTCCTGGGATCCAGTCCCGCATCGGGCTCCTTGCTCGGCAGGGAGTCTGTTTCTCCCTCTCCCTCTGCCTGCCACTCCCCCTGCTTGTGCTCTCTCTCTTTCTCTCTCTCTACATGTCAAATAAATAAATAAAATCTTGGGGCGCCTGGGTGGCTCAGTCGTTAAGCATCTGCCTTCGGCTCAGGTCAAGATCCCAGGGTCCTGGGATTGAGCCCCACATCAGGCTCCCTGCTCGGCGGGAAGCCTGCTTCTCCCTCTCCCACTCCCCCTGCTGTGTTCCCTCTCTCACTGTGTCTCTCTCTCTGTCAAATAAAGAAAATCTTTAAAAAAATAAAAAATTAAAAAATTAAATAAAATAAAATCTTAAAAAAAAAACTTTTGACTGTTCAGCCAAGAAAGTTGACATCCAAAGAGGAGGAATGACAAGACCCCACAATTATTAAGGCCAAAATGGCCAGCGTGGTACCAAACGCCTTCCCCAGGTTCATTGGATTAAACCAGAAACACTCCATCACCTGCTCTGAGGCTGGAAATAGGGGGTGGGCAGTGAAGTGACCCTTCATCAGGTCAGATGGAAAAGTCCAGAAGGCCAAGTAAGGCTGGGGAACTGGGTTAAGGGGCAGCAAACAGACGGGGAGGGGTGGGGGCCCAGGTAAGGGCTAGCTGGCACAGGCAGAACACGGGTCAGGAAGGGGGAGTTAGAGTACGCACCTTTGACGCACATTTCCTGAACCAGGATTGAGCGTCCAGCTCCACGCTGAGTGCTGGAAAGGATCTCGAGGTGTAACGGTGGAATCGTGGAAGGAGGAGGGAGGCCACAGGGAACCCCAAAGTCCATTTTTCTTCCTCCCTGTATAGCTGGGGCCAACAGAAGAATAACGGACAAGAGCTGAGGATTTAGGTTCAAATCCCAGCTCCGACACTTACCAGCTGGGAGACGCTGGGCAAGTTGCGTCGTACCTCCTGAACAGGACGACCTCCTGCGTCGTACCTCACACACAAATAGTCGGACACCAAATGAGGGAAAGGGGACTTTTCCCACACCAACCAGTTCTCCAGCTCTCCAGGCACCGGCTGGGCGTGCTACGATCCCAGTCAGTTCTGACACTGGCTACCTGGAGTCGGCCTCAGATCCCACAAGGGCTCCGTCCCACAAGACTGTCCCTGCTGCAGACAGCCATCAGGAGTCCCAGGCTGTTACCTGTGCTTCTGACTGACTGGCTCTAGATCAGGGCTCTCACAACCCCCCGTCAGGTTTTGCAATGTGCTACGACAGCTCACAGAACTCAGGGAAACACATCTATCAGTTTCTTAGAAAAGGATATGTTAAAGGATACTGATGAATAGCCGGATGAGGAAGGACGTAGGGTGAGGTCAGAAGGGTCCCAAGCATCGGCGCTTCCGTTCCTGTGGAGTTGGGGTGCACCACCCTCCCAGCATGTGTGTTCACCAACTCAGAAGCTCTCAACCCAGACCCCATATTTAAGGATGTTTATAGAGCTTCCTCATAGAGGCATGATTGCTTATTAACTCAATCTCCAGCCCCTCTCCCCTCCCTGGAGAATGAGGAGTGGGGCTAAAAGTTCTAGGCTTTTAATCATGGCTTGGTCTTCCGGGCCACCAGCCCCCATCCTGAGGCTATCCCGAAGTCCTCCAGGAATGACCTCGTTAGAACAAAAGACGCGGTTACTGGGCGCCTGGGTGGCTCAGTCCGTTCAGTGTCTGCCTTCGGCTCAGGTCATGATCTCAGGGTTCTGGGATCGAGCCCCGCATCGGGCTCCCTGCTCATCAGAGAGCTTGCTTCCCTCTCCCACTCCCCCTCCTTGTGTTCACTCTCTCGCTGTGTCTCTCTCTGTCAAATAAATAAATAAGATCTTAAAAAAAAAAAAAAAAAGACGCGGTTATCACTCGCAAAATTCCAAGGGTTTAGGAGCTCTGTTTCAGGAACCGGGAGCAGAGACCAAGAATATATTTCATACTATATCACCTCTGGCCCTCACCTTTCTCCTCTATAACATGAGGATAATGATACCATGTCCTTGAGCTGTTTTAAGGATTAAACAAGCGGAAAGTTCTTAGCCCAGTGCTTGGCACATAATAAGAACTTAATTAACTGTAATTAATGTTCTTATAGATGAGGAAGTTGAGACCCAGAGAAGGGGGTGGGGAGAACTTGTCCAAAGTCGGCTTGGGACAAGACTCTGTGATTCCATTCAGTGACCTGAGCATCTGCTCTGTGGCTAATGCTCCGCCAGGCTGGGCAGAAGGTCACTGGGATGACCTTGACAGTCCCTGTCTTCAACGGCCATACACTATACCATGGGGTGGGTTTCTCAGGTCAAAGAGTTCATGCTTTCCCCTGGATAGACATGACAGCCAAGCCAGTGGCCTAACCATGACAAGGAGAGTGTTAGGGGTTGAACTGTGTCCCCCCACCCCCCGCCCCCGTCAAAGATATGTTGAAATCCTAAACCCCAGTATCTCAGCACATGACCTTATTTGGAAATGCTGTCATGGCCGAAGTAAATATTTAAGATGAAGTCATGCTAGAATAGGGTGGGTCCCTAATCCGATACAACTGGTGTCCGTGTGCGGAGAAACACAGGGAAGGCCATGTAAAGACACCATGCCATGTCAGTGGGAAGCTGCCTTCTGAAAATGAAGAGGCTTTCAGGATAAAAGGGTCAAGTTGGGGTGTCAGGGATAATCCCTTCCTAGGAGCGTCGGGCTTAAGGAGGGGGCCTCAAACTTGTCCTGATTGGACAGTACAATGAGGACAGCCAGCCTGGTAGAGGTGTCCCCAGGTAGGGGTCCTGGGACTCCCGTCCCCGCAGGGAGATGGCCCTTGGGCTGGTGGGTGGGGACCAGGCAGATCAAAAGGGGCTAGGTTACTGACTGTGCCAGCCTGGGGGTCGGGGGGCAGTGGGTAGGAAGACAGAAGAAGAAGGCAACTATTAAAATGTGCCGCTGCCCCAGGATTCCCACTGCAACTGGAGAGTTCTGAGTGGGGGTGGGGGTGGGGGCTCTCCTCCCCCTCCCCCCAGAACCTTCAACTGTCAAGCACCACGCTAGCCACCAACATGCTGTACTCCCCAGGTAGGCGCTGATGGGCCTTGTACCCCTCCTGTGCCTCCCCGCAGGGAAGGGGCTGAGCCCCCGGAGGGTGACCCCTCCATCAGACTGGACGCTCCCTTCCTCACACGGTCCACTGATGGCCAGACCCCCAGGAGCCCTTCCTCCTGCCTCCACTGACAGCCGGGGAGTCGGGGAGAGGAGAGGGACCAGTCACCCCACTCTCACAGCTCCCTGGGAGGAAGGCTTGTGTGAGGGAAGCCCCAGCAGCCATTAGAGAAATAAAACTCAGGGAACGGAGAGAACGTCTCCCCAGCCCAGAAGAGTGGGCCTCTTGGTCCAAAAAAAACCAGACCCTAAGAGAACCACAGGAACAGGACTCAGGAGGCAGGCCTGGGGACCTGATCTCAGGGCCTGAGGGAGACAGCACCGGGGGAGAGGGGTGCTCGGCAGAGTTGACCTGTTCTGTGGGGTGGGGGCTAAGTGGTGGGGGGCAGCCAGTCCCACCAGCAGAAGGGCTCAGCCCTGCCCCTCCCCCAGCCTAGGAGGGCAGCGGGCTTCTGCTATAAAGGGCACCCCAGATCCTGGCTTCTCGGGCCCGCACCATCTGCCTGGGCCCTACAAGTGTAGGCCTCGCCCTAAGAGAAGACCTAACCCAGTCCTCGCTCTTCAGAAGTCCCCTGAGGAGTCTAGACAACGTCTTTGTTTCCCGCCAGCTTTGGAAACTCAGCTGTCCCCAAATCTGCAGGCCTCCGTCTGGTGGGGAGGCTGCACCGCCCTCCGCGACAACTCCCCGCCTGCAGGGGAGACAGGGTACACACCTGGGACAGAGAGCTTCCTAGCCACTTGTGGCCACCTGTCTGTCCTTCCCACAGCCAGCCTTGTCTGTCTGTCTCAGCCTGCCCACGCCCCTAAGCCCACCTGATGGGGCCCGGGTCTGTCACCCTCTCTGGAGACATTTTTGGTGATGACTGTGGTGGAGCGTGTGTGTGTGTGTGCATGCACGTGTGCGTGTGCGTGCGTGTGTGTGCGTGCACGTGTGTGTGTGTGTGTGCGCATGCACGTGTGCGTGTGCGCGTGTGTGTGTCCCGGCCAGCCAGCTGAGTAATGCACTCAGACCCAGCAAAGAGGGAAGAGGAAGCTGAGATTTAACTTCACAGCCTTGGTCTGCCCTCTGAGGTTCTCCAGTTTTCCTGGACCCCATCCCCTCCTCTGGTCCTTCCAGACCCCGAGGAGAGACTGGCACAGTCACTCCCGGAGGCAGCCAAGTCAGAGGCCTCCGAAGGCGACCCTGTGGTGGAAGGGCAGAGTGGTTCACCTCACTGCGTGGGTGCCCTTGGGCCCCTCACTTAACCCAGGTCTCTCAACCCGGACACTTGACATTTGCGGCGGGATAACTCTTTGTCATGGGGCTGTCCTGAGCACTGTAGGATGTTTAGCTCCCCGGAGCTAATGCATGGAAAGCATTTAGAACCACACCAGGCTTTGCGCCGGGTCCTCAAACACCGTTAACTAGTATTTTTATAACTGCTCTGTAAGTGCTAGTCCCTTTTACAACTGGGGGAGATTCCTAATATCTTCTCATCACAAACCGTAGGCTCCGGGGAAGAAGCCAAGGACAGGATCTCCCGAGTCTGTCCAGCAAACTCACCCTAATCCTTAGGCCAATGAACTTTTCTCAGTGGGGACCAGCAGTCTCCAGGCCCCAGGGACCCCAAGGTTACTCCAGAGAAGACTTTATGCGGTGGCCAGGGCCTTTGCTCATGGCCTGCACCAACGCTCTGGCTTCCCTGGGTGAGGTGAGCTCTTTTTGGTCCCCAGCCCAGGCATGGCCGATGGGCAGTGCTGGGTTGGAGTCTGTAGGGCGCACCATTTACCAGGCATCTGGGGGGAACTCTCCCTAATGGAATGGGGGGTCCCAGGGATGAGCCACGTGCCCATCTATCCCTTCACAGGGAGAAACTAACATGCATCACCCTCCTCCCTTCTAGGAGCGCTGGGGCACATCATTCAAAACATCTATTGAGCACCTACCATGCGCTCAATGCAGCAACAAACAAAACAGACAAAAATTCCTGTCCTCGTAGGCTTTCATTCTCGTGAGGGAGACAAATAAAAAAATAATAATAAATATACGTCTGGTCCCCGATGGTTAGTCCGTCGGGGACCAGAGTGGGACAGGGAGTTGGGGGCAGGGCAGGAGAGAGAAAACATAGATTTATGCAAACATAGATGAAAAAAATCACTACAGTACAATGCAAGGCATTCATTCATTCATTCATTCATCCCCTGAAAGCATTTCTGAGCCCCTGCTGTGGCCAGGTGCTATGTGAGACAGAGGGAACCCAGTGGTGGACAGAGAAGCCCCCACCTCCACCCTTGAGAGCTCACAGACAAGCCAACTCAGAACCGGCAGGCAGCGATGGGTGTCCCAACAAAGGAAAGTGCTGGAGGTGGGGGCTGCCCCAAACCCTGCCTGGGCACATTAGGGGAGGGCTTCCCCAAGGAGGTGGCACTGAGCAGGGCCTAGAAGGCTGAGCAGGACTTTCCCCAGTGGACAAGGTGTGTGCGTGGGAGCAGGCAGAGGCACCGAGGCAGGAGTGGTCCAGTGCAGCTGAGAAAAGGCTCCCTGTGCTGGAAGGTGCTGGGCCCCTCGGTGGCAGCCTGGTTTGGGTTTGTCAGGCTGACAAGGGGAGACCACAGGGGCATTCCTAGGCCTAGGGAAGTCCCAAGAAGACACCGCTGTGGGACAGGAGAATGGGTGTGCTTGGTTGGGGTAGTGGGAAGAGTCAAGGGGCATCAGAGAAGTTTCGCCACAAACGGCCCATGATCCCCTTAGTTGATGAAGATGGGAAGATGGTGCTATTCCACAGGACTTCCCACTGCGGAGAGGCACCTCCCTCTGGGGGTACTGTCAGGGTAAGGTCTGCCCTTGCCTGGGGTCTGCAGTCAGACTCCGTCCCATGCCCACCCCTCACCTGTGACCTTGGGCATGCTCCTTGACCTCGGGACCTCTGCTTCCTCTTCCAGTAATTGAGAATATTGCATGGATCTTTCTGGAGGCTGGTGTGCCTGGCGCAGAGCAAGCACTCAGTGCTGTTAGCTTTCCTACTGTAACTCTTCTCCTTGTCTGCCAACTCCAGGGAGGATGAATCACTGAGACCCCCTGCTCTCGCCTCGGTGGAACTCAGCCCTCTGTGGGCTCAACCTGGGTCTCACCTCTAGACAGCCTCGAGCCCTCCTGTCCCTCCCTGCAGCGGCCCCTTCTTTTCCCCACTCTGATTCCTCCCACACCGCGGCCCCAACTGGGCTCTGTTTAACTCAGACCACACCCTTCTACTACTCTCTCTATATAGATTGGCCTATTTGGGGCATTTTATATAAATAGAATCATGCAGTCTGTGGTTCTTTGTGACTGCCTTCTTTCACTTAGCATCATGTTTCTGAGGCTCATCCATGTTGTAGCGTGGGTCAGTACTTCATTTCTTTCTTTTTTTTTTTTCTTTTTTGAGAGAGAGAGAGAGAGCGAACACGCGCGCATGCACACACATACACGTTCGCGAGCATGCACCAGTGGGGGGAGGGGCAGAGGGAGAGGGAGAGAGAGAATCTCAAGCAGGCTCCACGCTCAGTGCAGAGCCCTCACGACCCGAGACCATGACCTGAGCCAAAATCAAGAGTCAGATGCTTAACGGACTGAGCCACCCAGGTGCCCCCAACACTTCATTTCTTTTTGAATGATATTCTTGTATGAATGATATTCCATTGTATGTATGTTTCTCGTCTTACTGATTCTTTTATTAGCTGATGGAACTTGGGGTTTCTTCCCACTTTTTGGCTATTGTGAATAATGCCATGAACATTTGTGTACAAGTTTTTTATAGGGACACACGTTCTCCTTTCTCTTGGGTGTATACCTAGAGGTGGAATTGCTGGATCATATGGTAATGATTCTATGCTTAACTGTTTGAGGGATGGCCAGGCTATTTTTCAAAGTGGCTGCACCCTTTTATATTCCCACCAGCAGTGGATGAAGCTTCCAATTTCTCCACATCCTCTCTGACCCTTGTTATTATCAGTCTTTTTTATTATAGCCATCCTGGGGGGTGCAAAGTGGTGGATCATTGTGGTGGGTTTGCATTTGCCTGGTGACTGATGGTGTTGAGCATTTTTGTGTATCTTCTTCAGAAAAACTATCTATCCAGATCCCTTGTCCATTTTTTCTAACTGGGTTATCTGTCTTTTCATTGTTAAGCAGAGTCCATTTCCATGGATCCAGGAATGGCGGCTCACGTAAGCCAGAACCGCCTCAGAGCCAAGGGCGTGGGCCAACACCACAACGCCCAGAACTACAATAACCAGAGCTATGAGGACCTGCAAGCAGCCTGTCTGAGGAGGGGAGAACTGTTCGAGGACTCCTTTTTCCCTGCCGAACCCAGTTCCCTGGGCTTCAAGGATCTGGGCCCCAGCTCCAAAAATGTGCAGAACATCTCCTGGCAGCGGCCTGGTGTGGGTATTGGGAGGGGAGGCGTGGATCCCTTGTCGGAGTGGGAGGGCTGTTTGTCATGACGCCCCCATCACTTTGAAATCTCCCGTCCCCTGACCCTCTATCCTGACCCTGGATCAGGCCTGGGGACAGTTCTGGCCATGCTTACGCCAAACCTCTCAAGGGAACCCCTGGGAAAATCACTCACTGACCTTGGCTGTCCCATCCTACAACTCTGCTGAGCTAGTCCTGTGACCTTCCCCTTCCGGTGCCATGTTTTCCCCTAGAACGTGGAAGTGGACGTCATTCCCCAGGAATGGGGAGAGGGAGGTTAGGAGGGGGATGTCTGGGCCCCCTAAAATCCTTATTCCTTCTCTGCAGCAAATCACAAGCAATCCTCACTTCATTGTGAACGGGATCAGTCCCACAGACATCTGCCAAGGCGTACTTGGTGAGTGGGGAGCAAGAAAGCTGGTGTGGAAGGAGGGGGTGAATCACGGAAGAAGGCTGAGGTAGGGGGAGTGCCAGGGTGTCTTTTGAGGCTGGGGAGCTGGGACCCCCTAGGTTCAGACAATCTCTCCTCTTTCCTTGCCCCTCCCCTTCTGAGGAGAGGGTAGTGAGGCTGCCAGGTATATTCTCCGTGCTCCACCCCTGCCAGTGTGATTCCAGCCCCACCGGCCGCTCTCTGGGTCTGGGAGTAAGCTGGGTGGTCTATCAGTTACCCATCGCCACACAGTCAATTGTCCCCAAGACTTAGTGATTTAAAGCAATGACAAACATCTATCATCTCAGTTTCTGTGGGTCAATAATTCGTAAGGAACAGAGCAGGTTGGATCTGACTCAGAGTCTCTCATGAGGCTGCCATCAAGATATCAGGCGGAGCCCCGTTCATCTGAAGGTTTCACGGGAGCTGCAGGATCCGCTCCCAAGATGGCATGCTCACGGGCCAGGAGACCTCCGTTCCCTGCCTCGTAGGCTTCCCCGTAGGACGGCCTGAGTGTCCACACAACTTGCTGGCTGGTTCCCCCAGACAGAGTGATCCAAGAGAGAGAACAAAGAGGAAACCGTCATGCCTTTTACCGCCTCAGGAGAACACACACGGTCCCCTCCACCACATTCCAATTGGTCAAAGCAAGCGCGGAATCTGGCCCACCTTTCAAGGGGAAGGAGTTAGGCTCTGCCTCCCGAGGTGGGGGGAGAGTCAAAGAGCTTGAGGAACTATTTTTTAAGCACCTGCAGAAAAAAAAAATAAGCGCCTGCAGGTGCCAGAACTTGCTCGGTCTGACGTATCAAATAAAGGAGCACTAAGTTCCTCGGCCCACTCTCCCATGGGCTCCTGTGACAGCCCCAAGGGATAACTTCCTCCCTGAGGAAGGGCTCCTCCAAACCCTTCATTGCATCTTCAGGGGTAAGACCAGGGCAGCCTTCCTCTGGGGCTGAATTCTGTCGTATCTGTGGCAGAGAAAAGCGCAGGTTGTGGGCAGGGCGGAAGCCAAGGAGACCTCAGGCCCCACGTCTGCCGCTGTGGCTCACTGCGCTGCAAGAGGAGAACCGGCTTCCTCCTGGTTAGGTGTCCTTTTGGCAATGGAGGATTGGAGTGTCCTTAACCCCCCACCCCCACCCTTTGCCTCCCCCCAAGGGTACCCCAGGCAGCCACGAGGCCATTGGTAATCACAGATGCTTTCCCGGTGCCCTCGGCCTAAGCCTGGCCTGGAACACTCACTCAGGGTACCACCCTGCCCTTGGCCCCGCCCAGCAAGATCTGAGGTACCCAGGAGAGAGATTTTGATGGATGACCTTAGCCTAGGGATACTGCCCCTAGGCCCCATCAATGCCTAGCCCCAGGGACCCAGCTGGGGTACAGACTAAGCCCCTTGGGTCTCCAGTATGATGTGGGTGGCATCAGGGAGAGATGTCTTGATTGATACACTGATGTAATCATAGAGTAGAAGTAGGAGGCAGGGGGCATGGGGGGAGGTGACTGGATTTGTTCAAGGGTTGGGAGAAAACTGGCTCTCTCCACAAAGCAGATCTCAGGGTAAGGAGCAAAACAGAGGCCAAATACCTCCTCCCCAAATCCAAAAACCGAAGCATCTGGCTTTAACTTGTGAATCTCTTACCTAATAGAAAAGGTAAAGAGGCTCACCCCCCAGAGCCTGTTCCTTCAGCCCTGTTTCTCCCTACTAGATTCCTTCCTGAACAGTCCTTAGTGGGACAGCCAGAGGAGGAGCAGCTCTGTGGGGGAGGGGCCACAGAGCCCGTTCCTGCTCCTTTAGGGCTTGGATTCTGGGACCCACACTCACAAAATGGGAGGGAGAGGCAACCCCCTTCCTGTCTTTCCAGGGGACTGCTGGCTGCTGGCTGCCATTGGCTCCCTTACCACATGCCCCAAACTGTTGTACCGTGTGGTACCCAAGGGGCAGAGCTTCAGGAAGAACTATGCCGGCATTTTCCATTTTCAGGTGAAGGTTGATTTGGAAGCCGGAGTTGTTTTGTGGTGTGTGTGTGTGTGTGTGTGTGTGTGAGAGAGAGAGAGAGGCCGGGGGGAGGGAGAAAGAAGAATTATATGTGCTTTGAAGTTACCTTTTTTCTTTTCTTTTTGAAAAATGACTTTTATTAGGGTGGGCTTTTGTCTAATTATCAGAGAAATATCTGCTTACTAAAGAAATCATGTAAGCCAATTTTTTAAAGCCCCAAAAGAAAATAATCGTTATTTTGCGGCTCTCCTTCTGCTTCTCTTTGTCTGTCTCTTTCTCTTGGGAGAAATGTGTGTGTGTGTGTGTGTGTGTGTGTGTGTGTATGACATGGGGAGTCAACAGTCAGTCAGGGTCACATAATTTTTATAATCTGCTCATTAAGTTTAGCGACATGTGGACAAATTCCTCACATCACAAAACTATTTCTGAGAATCACAAGAGTTTTTTTAAAACCTCAGAAATCCTAAAGCCCAACCAAGGTCAAAGCGTAGGTGGTGTCCCTCTGGAGGCCCTGGCAGAAACTAGAGTTGAGGCTGGGGGCGAGTTTCAGGGTTTTCATTGCCTTTCACTCACGCCTCGGCCATTCTGGGGAGTGGGCGCTCTGCAGCGGGCATGTCGCTGATCCTGGCCACCAGGAGGTGCTCAGGTAACGCAGCTCTTACACAAGGAGTGTGTGTGAAGTGTGGGGGTGGGTGGGTGTGCTCATGGGAGGGGGCGTGGCGCATGTGTGCATGCGTGTGCTTGGAGGAAGGCCTGGGCCACACAGATGCCCTAAGCCCCGCTGAGGTCCACCTTGCCGCCCACAGATTTGGCAGTTTGGGCAGTGGGTGGACGTGGTGGTGGACGACCGGCTGCCCACCAAGAATGGCAAGCTGGTGTTCGTGCATTCCGCTGAGCGCACTGAGTTCTGGAGTGCCCTGCTGGAGAAGGCATATGCCAAGTGAGTGCCCCAAGGTGGGCTTGCCTCCAAGCCTGCCCTGACAGGTAGGGAGGCAGCTGGAATCAGGGGAAAAGGCAGAGGGGAGGTCAGGGTATCCCTTCCTTCCCTCCCCACACCCTCCCATGTCCAAGCTGACCTGTCTATCCCAGAGTGCAAAAGTGCCCTCTCTGTGCCTACAGGCTGAACGGGTCCTATGAAGCACTGTCGGGGGGCAACACCGTAGAGGGCTTTGAGGACTTCACGGGGGGCGTGACCTATAGCCTCCAACTCCAGAAGCCCCCTCGGAACCTGCTGAGGATGCTTAGGAAGGCCGTCGAGCGATCCTCCCTCATGGGCTGCTCCATCGAAGTAAGCCATACTTGGTCCTGCCTCGGGGCCTTTGTACCTGCTGTGGCTTTCACCTAGAAGGTTCTTTCCCCAGAGAGCTGCATGACCAGCTCCTTCTCATTCACATCTCAGTTCAAATGCCCCTTCCTCAGGCTTCTCTTCTCTACCTCCCAATCTAAATCAGTTGCTCCTAACCTCATTTGCTCTTCTTTGTTTTTTTTTTCTTCCCCTCAGCATTTATGGTGCTCCCTCAGGATCTTACTTACCAGTATTGTTATTCACAGCCTGTCTTCTCCCGGCTGTTTCAGTCAGTGAGGGCAGTGACTTGTCTCATTCACTGCTGGATCCCAGGACTTAGGGTGCCACTTGGCATGCAGTAGACGCCCAGCAAATAAATATTTATTCAAATAAATAAATGAACCTGGAGCGCAACCATACAACCCTGCAGTTGCATTCTTGGGCTTTTATCCCAGAGAAATGAAGACTTATGTTCACAGGGGCTTTATTCATCGTAGCCAAAAACTGGGAATAGTCTAGATGTCTTCAGTGAGTGAATCATTAAACTGTGGTGCACATATGCCATGGGACATGACTCAGCAATAAAAGGAAATGAACTATTGATACACGCAACTACTTGGATGAATCCCAAGGGAATTAAGCTGAATGAAAAAACCGAAGAGAGTGGCATACTGTATGATTCCATTTCCCTGACAGTCTTGAAATGATAAAATTATTTTAAGATTTTATTTTATTTTGGGCGCCTGGGTGGCTCAGTTGGTTAAGCGACTGCCTTCAGCTCAGGTCATGGTCCTGGAGTCCCAGGATCGAGTCCCGCATCGGGCTTCCTGCTCAGCGGGGGGTCTGCTTCTCCCTCAGACCCTCTTCCCTCTCGTGCTCTCTCTCATTCTCTCTCTCAAATAAATAAATAAAATCTTTAAAAAAAAAGATTTTATTTTTAAGTAATCTCTGCACCCAACATGGGGTTCAAACTCACAACCCTGAGATCAAGAGTGGCACACTCCACCATCTGAGCCGGCCAGGTGCCCCAAAATGACAAACTTTTTTAAAAATGGAGAACAGGGGTGCCTGGGTGACTCCGTCGGTTGAGTGTCTGACTCTTGACTTCAGCTCAGGTCAAGATCTCAGATCCTGGGATCTGTTGGCCTCAGGCTCCGCGCTCGGCAGGGGTGGGGGGGTCTACTTGAAGATTCTCTCCCTCTGCCCCTCTCCCCCACCCCCAGTTATGCACGCGCTCTCTAGCTCTGATGTGAATAGATAAAATCTTTTAAAAAAATAAAATAAAAATAAAATGAAAGTGGAGAACTGATTAGCAGTTGTGAGAGGTCAGGGAAGATGATAGCAAGCGGAGGCGGGCATGGTTATAAGAGGGTAGCACAGGGGATGCCTGCGGTGCTGGGACAGTTCTGTGGTGGTGGTGCAGAGAGTACACACATGGTACAATTGCACTAAACATACACAAAGGACTATTGGCAAAAGTGGGGACATTTGTAGAAGCCTGACAGATTGCATCAACATCATGACAGTCTTGCTACTGCTATCGTACCACAGTTTTGTGAGATGTTACCACTGGGGGAAACGATACAGGATGCATTGATCTTTCTGGATTTTTTTCTTGTTTTCCGTAGGCTCCATGCCCAATGCAGGGCTTGAACTCATGACCCCAAGACCAAGAGTTGCCCGCTCTACTGGCTGAGCCAGCCAGGCGCCCCTCCCTGGATTATTTCTTACAACTGCATGGGAATCTACAATTATTTGCAAATACCAGGTTTAATTTAAAAAAACAAAACAAAACTGAACCCCAGGGCGCCTGGGTGGCTCAGTTGGTTAAGCATCTCCTTTCAGCTCAGGTCATGATCCCGGAGTCCTGGGATCAAGTCCTGCATCGTGCTACCTGTTCAGCTGGGAGTCTGCTTCTCCCTCTCCCTCTGCCCCTCCCCCCTGCTCGTGCACTCTCTCTCTCTCTCTCTCTCTCAAATAAATAAAATCTTAAAAAGTGAACCCTGAGAGTGCTCACATCTCTTCGGGGGACCCCAGTGCCTCTGACCGGATCCTGAATTCCTCTCCTTCTCTGTTCTGTAGGTCACCAGCGATAGCGAGTTGGAGACCTTGACCCAGAAGATGCTGGTGAGAGGGCATGCTTACTCCGTGACCGGCCTCCAGGACGTGAGTCTGCCAACCGCATACTACCCTGAGCAAAGGAGCACCGGGGAATCCCTCCTGCCTGAGGCCCCTGACCTTTGGCCACACCCCTCCCACCAGGTCTCGTACCAAGGCAGGACAGAAACCCTGATTCGGGTCCGGAATCCCTGGGGCCGGATCGAGTGGGATGGAGCCTGGAGTGACAAGTAAGCGCCCCTGACCAGCACTGTCCGGTGAGGGGCAGAGTGCCCAGCAGGCCCACGAGCGAGGCAGTGCCACCCACCAGATTCTCCATCTAACTCAGGACCCCCACAGGCAGGGGTGAGGGAATCCCTTGGGGAGGACCAAAATGCCTCCTGAGCCCCGCCCCTCTCCCTCCACCACCTGTCTCTGCTCCAGCGCCAGGGAGTGGGAAAAGGTGGCACCGGACGTCCAGAAGCAGCTCCTGCTCAGGAAGGAGGATGGGGAGTTCTGGTCAGTGCAGCTCAGGGCGGGGAGAGTGAGGTGGGGGGCATCCTTCTGCCCCCATGCCCCGTCCCTTCCTTTCCTCTGCCACCCTCGCACCTGTGCCTTTGATGGAGAGGATCCTGGGGGAGCGGTGGGGGGGAGTTATGGGTGTGGGATGCCGCAGGCTCCAGCCGTCACCCCGCCCCCCGCACTGCAGGATGTCCTATGAGGACTTCCTGGACAACTTCACGCTGCTGGAGATCTGCAACCTGACGCCCGATGCCCTCGCTGGGGACCACAAGAGCTACTGGCACACCACCTTCTATGAGGGCAGCTGGCGGCGCGGCAGCACTGCGGGGGGCTGCAGGAACCACCTTGGTGAGTGACGGGACCCAGGGCCCACCGTGCAGGACGTCGGGGGCCCCACAGATCCCACCAGGCTGGTCAAGGAGGCAGGCCCGGGGCTGGGAAGCCCGTCCACCCTGGGGAAGGGCAGAGCCCTGCTGACCTGCTTCCTCCACAGACACATTCTGGAGCAACCCCCAGTTTAGGATCTCTCTCCCCGAAGAGGACGACGATGACCCAGAGGACGACCAAGCCGTCTGCACCTGCTTGGTGGCCCTGATGCAGAAGAACTGGCGACAGGCGCGGCCCCAAGGAGCCCAGCTGCAGACCATTGGCTTTGTCATCTACATGGTGGGCACTCTAGCAGGTCCCCCAGCCAGTCTCTTGCTCCCTCGCCTGGCCTCACCCCTGCAACACCCTTCCAAAGGCCTTACGAATAGGAACGCCTTCAGGAAGAGGAAGGAGATGGAGCACCAGGGAGGTGGGGTTACTTGCCCAAGTTCACACACCCAGGGCTCAGAAACAGAGCCTGTGTCCTGATTCCCAAACCCTCTGAGATTTCTCCACACCATCCCAGAGTCTCCCCGCCCAGATACCCCCACACAGAGCACTGACTCCAGCAGCCAAGAGAAATCCCTGGCAATGTTTCCAAAATCGTGCTTTGTAAAATCCTATAAATGACCATTTGTTCAAATAGTTATGGAACCCCTGCTGTGTGCCAGGCCCCAGTCCAGTCTCCACTGGGTCAGTAGTGAACAAACAGACACAGATCTTGCCCTCCTTCTAGGCTGTGAGCCCACCAGATTAACAGACACCAGACATGCCTCAAGATATTTCCAAGGTTAGAGGTGGTCCTTCGGGAAAGGTTATATTCTCTACTTCCCACCCCGAGCTCTGCAGGGCATCAACGTGTTAAAGGCTCTGGTTATCTCTATAGGAGAACAACCTATTTATCTTGGTCTAACCCACCTTTTCACAGAACTAATGGGTCTAACCCACTTGGTCTAACCCACCTTTTTTTTTTTTTTTTAAGAATTTATTTATTTATTTGACAGAGAGAGACACAGCGAGAGAGGGAACACAAGCAGGGGGAGTGGGAGAGGGAGAAGCAGGCTTCCCGCTGAGCAGGGAGCCCGATGCGGGGCTGGATCCCAGGACCCTGGGATCATCACCTGAGCCGAAGGCAGATGCTTAACAACTGAGCCACCCAGGCGCCCGTCTAACCCACCTTTTTACAGAACTATTTTACAGAACTATGTTTAACGCTCAATTTCGGTAATCACCTATTAACTTCCTGCAGGATAGGAATGTTCCATGGAAAATGCTCACGTTCAGGAAAATGCTCTCCTAGATTTTCATCCCAGTTGATTTTTAGCAGTGTGAAGTTGGGCACGTTACCTCACCTCTTGGGATTCGGTTTCTTGTCCTTAACCTGCAGTGGTAGAAATCTCCCCCCACCAGCAAAACTTTGTATAAACTGTACTTTGCTCTCCCAAACTTAGGGACTATCAATATTAACGCTAGGTCTTTTAGCTATTTGAGCCCATGGCCCACCCTGCCGCCGGTGTCCCAGTGCCCTTAACACCCCCCAACACACACACACACACACACACACACAGTACCTGGCTTCTACAGGCCTGAGCCCCTTCACCATCCTGGGGCTCTGACCTCCCTCTCTCTTCTCTCCCTAGGTCCCAAAAGAGGTACAGAAGATGTGGGGCTTGATTCTGGGCAGGCGCTACCCCACCTCTGGCTGCATGTGGATGGGCAAAGGGTGGAATTCAGCCAAGGGCTCTCAGGGCCACTGGGTTAGGATTCCAGCGCCCTAGGGCCCCAGGTGGGAGTTGGGGCAGGAGATTATACCGGGGTTACCTGCCAGTTGGATGGTGTCCAGGACTGGTCAGTTTGTGGTGATGCCTCCCGCAAGCCTTGCCCAGCCAGGCTTCACTTTCGGGGTCCCTCTTTCCTTACCCTCCCATGCCAGCCCTGTACCCACCTCCAAAGCACATATAGTTTCAGAACATCCAGGATATTCGCTTGAAGAAGGACTTCTTCATAAAGTATCAGGACCATGGCTTCTCAGAGATCTTTACTAACTCACGTGAGGTGAGCAGCCATCTCCGGCTGCCTCCGGGGGAATATGTCATCATTCCCTCCACCTTTGAGCCACACAGGGATGCGGACTTCCTGCTTCGGGTCTTCACAGAGAAGCACAGCGAGTCCTGGTGAGGAGCCCTACCTCGCTGCTCCAAGGCCACCTGCCCAAGAGCTGTAGGATGTCACGCTTAGGGAGCGGTCATCTGGGCCTCCCCAAATCTACCCTTATCTTAAGTCAGGGAAACTGAGGCACAAGGAGGGGGAGTCCCAGTTGGGAGCAGACCAGAATCAGAACCCAGATCCCATGCAGCCTGTTCCACGTTGCTTCAGATACATGACATGATCTCCTCACGACCACCCCACTAAAATCCCTGCCTCCCTGATCCTGGATACCTCCCAAGACTTCCTCCACTTTTGCTCAGGGAACTGGATGAAGCCAACTATGCTGAGCAACTCCAGGAGGTGAGGGGATGCTGTGGGGTGGAGGGATCAGAGGAAGCAGCTGGGGAGTGTGAAGGAACTTTCTGGACTGGGTCCCCTTCCCACCCCTTTCCCTGCAGGAGAAATTCTCTGAGAAGGACATAGATCAGGACTTCATACATTTGTTCGAGATAGTGGCAGGAGGAGAGGTGAGACACTGAGGCCTGGGTGCCCAAAGGAGGCGGCCAGGGTGAAGGTGTTGCAGAAGAAGTTGACGGTCCCCCTTTCTAGGGCAAGGAGATCGGCTTGTACGAGCTACAGAAGCTGCTCAACAAGGTGGTCACCAAACGTGAGTCTTTGAACCCTCCCCCCGCCCCCCGCCACTCACGACCTTTCCCCTACAGCTTGTGCCTGACCTCCCCCACTCCCTGCATCCCCCACGACGTTCCGCTCACTCCTTCTGTCCTCCCGCCCCTTCCCTCCCTCACAGTCAGAAACTTCAGGACCACGGGCTTCGGCCTAGATGTGTGCCGCTGTATGGTCAACCTCATGGATGTATCTTCTTGTCCAGCGCTCTCCCACCCCTGACCCCCACCCCCAAGCCTGGCCCCCAGAAGTGGTCACCTCTCTGGCCAGCCATGCCCTCCTTCCTGCTGGGGATGAGACTCTGAGGCAGCAAAAGATGCCATTCCGGCTGTTACCATAGTGACCACACAGGAACCCCTGGTCTCACACGGCCCCCCACTCAGTGAGCCCCTCTGCTTCCCTGACCCCAAGATACCCTCTTCACTCTTCTCTGGCATCCTTGACCACCCCCCAGAAAGATGGCTCTGGCAAGCTGGGGCTTCCCGAGTTCCAGATCCTGTGGAAAAAAATCAAGAAATGGACGGTAAAAAAAAAAAATTGAAAGGGCAGTTTATGGCGGGCAGAGAGGGCGGTCCTCAAGAGTGATGGGGATTAGTAAGGATGATGCTAGAATGGGAGCCCCCGACTAGACACACACATACACAGGACAGGACAGGATCTGTGGAGGTGTTTGTATATTGGCTAGCCAAAATATTTATTTATTTATTTATTTAAGATTTTATTTATTTATTTGACAGACAGAGATACAGCGAGAGAGGGAACACAAGCAGGGGGAGTGGGAGAGGGAGAAGCAGGCTTCCCACCGAGCAAGGAGCCCGATGTGGGGCTCAATCCCAGGACCCTGGGACCATGACCCGAGCCGAAGGCAGACGCTTAACGACTGAGCCACCCAGGCGCCCCTAGCCAAAATATTTAACAACCAGTACAGTCCAGGCATCAGCCAGCTTAAAGGGTACATGCGGAAGGCCCAGTTGGGAGTGGGTCTTTCAGACCACTGACTCAGTTTCCAACCCCCTTCCCTTGCCAGACGTCCCCTACAGTCACTAGATGACAAGAATATTGGTCACTCAGGGAGTGGGCCAGGGTAGGCAGCCCTGGGTCTTGGGTAGCCCTTGTAGGTTAACCGTATGAAAGCCTTTCATTATTTCAACCACCACCCTATGCACACGGCCCTACCTCATCTGTCTGTCCCTTCAGGACATCTTCCGAGAGTGTGATGAGGACCACTCAGGCAGCTTGAACTCCTATGAGATGCGCTTGGCAATCGAGAAAGCAGGTTAGCAGGGGGTCAAGAGAGGGTTTGGGGGCAGGGAGCGAGGAAGCAGTGGCCAGAGGGCTGGATCCCCCTCCGCACTCCTCTCTCTCCCAGGCATCAAGCTGAATAACAAGGTGACGCAGGTGCTGGTGGCTAGGTATGCAAACGACGACATGATCGTGGATTTTGACAGCTTCATCAGCTGCTTCCTGAGGCTGAAGGCCATGTTCAGTGAGTCAGTCATCTGCCCACTCCCCACCCTGGGCTAAGGACCAGGGGCTGCCTCCCACACACCCACATGAGGAGCACTCTGCTCCCAAACCATGTCCCCTTAAGAGCACAGATGATCTGGGTTCAAATCCCAGCTCCACCAGTTGTTGGCTCTGTGCCTTGAGCAAGTCATTTATCTCTCTGTGGCTCTGTCCTCTGTTCTCATCTATAAAATGTGGACAACAGGGGCGCCTTGGTGGCTCAGTCGTTAAGCGGCTGCCTTCGGCTCAGGTCATGATCCCAGGGTCCTGGGATCCAGTCCCGCATCGGGCTCCCTGCTCAGCGGGAAGCCTGCTTCTCCCTCTCCCACTCCCCCTGCCTGTGTTCCCTCTCTCGCTGTGTCTCTCTCTGTCAAATAAATAAATAAAATCTTTTAAAAAAATAAAAATAAAAAAATAAAATGTGGGCAACAACAATATTGGCCTCCTAGGATGGAGGTCCAGAATACAGGAGTTCGCATATGGCGACACTTAGCATATGGCTCATAGCAAGACCATGAGGTGTTATCCTTAAGTCCTTCCGGGGCTGAGGGTTAGCTGGGAAGCAGCAAGGGACAGCTTCTTATGCCCTCTATGACATCCTGCCTCTTTGGGAGTGGGTCTTGCAGACCACAGACTCAGCTCCCAAACCCCTCCCCTTGCCTCCTCTCTGAAACAGCATACTTTCTTTCCATGGACCCCAAGAATACTGGCTATATTCACCTGAATCTGAACCAGGTACATGGAAGGGATTTTCTGGCACTCCCACTCACGGCACCTCCAGCCATCCTACCCACCCCCCAATCCTTGGATCTGCTTCTTTTCTCCCCACAGTGGCTACAGACAACCATGTGGGGATAGAGGAGCTCCAGGAGCCTGACTCCCATCACCACCACCACCAGTGTGGGGCTTCTGGCCCCAGAGCAGGGGCTTCCTTGCTGCACTCGGCTCTGCAGTCTCTGCTGATGGAATGGGCTCCAGCTAGTGGCACCCGGGCCCTGGATGCTGAGCTTACTCCAGCGCCAGGCCCTGTATCGCCACCCTCCCATCGCCCACCCTCCCAGCCCAACGTGTTTCTCTTTTTCCCCAGCCTGCTTCTGGTGGCTGGATTCCCCCGTCTCTCTCTCTCTCTCTCTCTCTCTGAGTATATTTTACCGAGATTAAGTGTCACTTCCCCAGTGGCTATGGAGGCTCTCCACACTCTCCTGCTCACACCCGCCCGCTCACTACCCTCCCAGCACAGCCCCTCTCTTCTCTGCCTCACTTGGGGGCGTTATAATAAACAGCCCATGCCGCTGGCTTCCATGTCCCTTGTTTCTATGTCAAGAAAATTCCAGCAGAGGCGGAAATCACTTCCCCAGCCCCAAAGAGGGGCCGCAGTAGCTCTCAGGGTGTCACCCTACTTCCAGGGAAGAATGTGTGACTGTCACAAAAACTAGAGGGCGCTGTTGACATTTATGTGCGGTACCAGGGATGCTAAAGGCATAGCAGTCCCTCCCCGCAGACTGTACTGAGCATGGTACCAAGGAGCAGCATGGGAGGAGACAGCACTGGGCAAAGTTAGGGGCCCACAGGGCCCTTGCCTCCTCTCTCCTCCCCTGAGGTCTCCAAAGGTGGCAAAGCAGGAGTCTCAAAGGTCAAAAATCCAACACCCCCACCAGCTAGCAGATCATAGAAATGAACCGACCCTCCTTGGTGTGAGGCCAGGAGGGCTGAGGACTGTGGGAACAGGTGAGTTCCTGCCTGCCTGGAAGGTGTTCTGGTTCAAATCATTTTTATTGTTAGAGACTTCTTGCCTGCCAAACTACTGCCCTCACAGAAAGCATCAAGGGACGCTTGGTCCCCCAGTTCTGGACCTTGGAGTCTCTACCCCTAGATCCTCCCTCCCCCAGCTTCTCGCAGCAGTGAGAAGCCCAGACCACCTACAGCAGCCCCTCAACTGCACATTGTCTATCCTTCCAGATCTTTCCATGGCTTCCCCCTCAACTTCACATCGCCTGTCCTTCCAGATCTTTCCATGGCTTCCCCTCTGGTCTCTCTGGCCTGTACACCGGGTCCTGTGCGTGCAAGCTTTTTAGCCTCTTGGCCAGAGACAGCTTACAAATCCTCTTAGCTTAGGGACCTGTTGACCTTAAATACATCTAGATCCTTCCTGCGTGTGTGTGCACTTTTGTCTTGGGGAGGGGAAGGGAAGGGAGGGGAAGGGCGTGGCTGGCTTCGAGTTCCTCCTGCAGCCTTGCTCCTAGGCTTCCTTCCATTTGCAGGACACCCACCCACCCCTCTTATGCTTAGCTGGGGGTTGGGATTCCAATCCCCCCCCCCCAGTCTGGTGACTGATTCTCTGCACCATCCCTGCCCCCTGCCTCCTTTATGTCCTCAAAGATGAAACTGAGTCAGCCACCCTCTCCCTCAACTGCCACTCCCACTGCCTCCCAGAAATCATCTCCACCGGCCACCTCCCTCTTCCTTCCTCTGTCCTCTACAAATTCTGTCTGAGAGGTCACACTCTCTTGAGGAGCCTCTTAAAGAGTGGTTCCTCCACCCCACCTTCTGCCATCTTTTCCCCACAGAGCTGCTCTCTTAGGAGCAAAGAAATGTTCCAGGGGGGCAGGGCAGGGATCATCTGGGGAGGCCCGGAAACTAGCAGGTCCTTTGAACTTTTGAGAGGTCTTGGGCAGTCCCACTGGGTTCTGGGAAGCCCAGCAAGATGCTGACCCCACCTCTTGTTCCTTGCCCTAGCGCAAGATGCTGCCAACTTCTGTCTGGGTCGCTTGGGGCAAGTTATTTTACTTCTCTGACAGTCTCCTTTTTCTCACCTGTGGACTGGCGATGTTAAACAATAAAAATTTTACTGAGTAATTTAAAAAATCAAATTGGCGGGCGCCTGGGTGGCTCAGTCAGTTAGGCATCTGCCTTCGGCTCAAGTCATGATCCCGGGGTCCTGGGATCGAGCCCCGCATCAGGCTCCCTGCTCAGCGGGAAGCCGGCTTCTCCTTCTATCCCTCCCCCCGCCTTGTGCTCACTCTCTCTCTCAAATAAATAAAATCTTTTTAAAAAAATCAAATTGGCTTTGTTGAACAGTTCCTACATCGGGTTGCATCCCACCTAGCAAACAGAAAGTTTTGTAGAAAAAGAAGGATTTGTAAATGTAGAGAGGAGGGGGATGGGAAGGGATTATCAGCAAAGAGGGTGTTGTTTTAGGTAAGGTCCCCTCCTAAGGGGTCTATCTGTAAATTTCCTAGTGCTGCCCAGGGACTTCCAGGTTGACTGGTTAGAGGTCACATTTCTGGGGGGATTAAAACAACAATTAGGTTAGGCATTAAGTCTTGGTTTTGCTGATGTGGGGCCTTAACATAAGTGACTCCATGTGGGGCCTGTGGTTTTCTTTTCAGCAACATCTCCCTTTTGGTTAGATTCTAAGCTTAACTGAGACAGGGGATCAAAATGTAAGGCATTCTACGACTATGGTTAGTCACAGGTTACAACTTCAGGTTCACAATTGTTTTTAAGTAATCTCGACACCCAACATGGGGCTTGAACTCACAACCCAGACATCAAGAGTCGCATGCTAAAAAAAAAAAAAAAAAATTTGCATACTCTACCAACTGAGTCAACCAGGTGTCCCAAAGTTCATAATTTTTAAGTCAGTTGTCCTTTCGTTGTTTTTCTGACAGTCCAGTCTTCAGGAGATCACATGCTTGGTGGTTAGCGGCGGCGAACATGCACTTAAAGCTTTTGAGAGAGTAAAATGCACCAGGGAGATTATTGTGATTATTATAAACAGGATAATCCCTAACCTCTGGAGTGCACTTCAGAGCCATTGTCTCCAAGACCCAAACCAATCAGAATCAAATAAGACAAAGCTAGACCTCGCTGAAGGAGTCACCATTTTAAGCCCAGTGGCTTGCTCAGTGATCTTGTGCAATTTGAGTTTCAACTTCCCCAGAAGGGTTAATCCGTGTGCTGCAAGTGGTTTTGGCCACAGCACAGACACCTCTTTGCTCAGCTAAAAGATAATCAGAAACTATCTGATTACAAAGAACAATTTTGGCTGGAGAGCTGGAAGGATCTTTGTTGGGCAGCTATTGTCTTAGTGACAGATTCTGTGGATATCTTTAAGAGTTAAGGAAAGGTTTCTGATCATATTCTCTTTTTTTTAAGATTTTATTTATTTACTTGAGAGAGAAAGAGAGAGCATGAGCAGGGGGAGGAGCAGAGGGAGTAGGAGAAGCAGGCTCCCCGCTCAGCAGGGAGCCCGATGCCAGGCTGGATCCCAGGACCCTGAGATCATGACCTGAGCCAAAGGCAGATGCTTAACTGACTGAGCCACCCAGATGCCCCTGATCATATTCTTACTTATATTTCCTCCTAACCAGGGAAATATGGCTCTGCCAAAGGAAGCAAATCCCGAGTTGTGAATGCCTCCTAGTAGGTCTTTTCTAACTCAAAGATGTAAATCCAGGGGAGTCAACCAATAAGATGTTTGATTTCACTTGTAAAAAGTTGGGGGCACAGTGAGGTGAGATACCCTAAGAGGCATTGCCTGGCTGTGTCCCAGCCATCCAAACATTCACAGGCCCAAGGAGAGTGCTAACCACCAAAGACAAAGGACAAGCCCGGTCAGGGCACAAACCTCTTCCACCAGGTGGCACGGTGAATGGACAGATAGGAGTTTTGGGTGACAAGTCCAGCAGTCTGAAAGGCCAAGTTTACCTCCCTCCACAATGGCCTGAGAGATACCAATGATGTCATCTTTCCAGGCCAGTGCCAGAGTGAAAAAAAGAAAGGTTTCCTATTCAGTTAAAGTGTGAGGCCTCTGACCCAGCAACTGCACTACTGAGTATTTACCCCAAAGATACAGATGTAGTGAAAAGAAGGGGCACATGCACCCCAATGTTCATAGCAGCAATGTCCACAATAGCCAAACTGTGAAAGTCCCTCTTACTTTCAAAGGCGAATATTATGGAGATTCATCCTCGCCATTCATGGGCTCCCCACTGTGAAAGTCTGTTTTCTGTCCTTCTCTGAGCCCACGCTGGGGCTCAAACCCATGACCCTGAGATCTTGAACTCATAGCCCTGAGATCAAGAATCACATGCTCTTTCCACTGAACCCCCAGGTGCCCTGAGAAAATTTTTGACAGAGAGAAAAGCCAACTTCTAATTTTCCAGCAGTGTACTTTTGATATTAAAATTCACTTTTATTTTATTTTTTTTATTTTTTTAAGAGAAAGAGAGAGAGTGTGTGTAGGTGGGGGCAGAGGGGGAGAGGAAGAGAGAATCTTAAGCAGGCTCCATGCTCAATGTGGAGCTGGAGGCAGGGTTCGATCTCAAAATCCTGAGATCGTGACCTGAGCTGAAATCAAGAGTCAGATGCTCAACTGACTGAGCCTCCCAGGCACCCCTAAAACTCATTTTAAATAAGTTCATCTTAATCTTAGCCAGCTTGATCACACATTAAAATTCCTTTTCAAAAATTCCTTTTCCACAAATCTTCTATAACTTTCTTTTTCTTTCTGTTTTACATTCAGATTTTGTCCTGTATTTCCCCTCTTTAAATACCCTCATTTTGGGGGGGACGCCTGGGTGGCTCAGTTGTTAAGCCTCTGCCTTCGGCTCAGGCCATGATCCCAGGGTCCTGGGATCAAGCCCGCATCGGGCTCCCTGCTCAGTGGGAGGCCTGCTTCTTCCTCTCCCACTCCCCCTGCATGTGTTCCCTCTCTCGCTGTGTCTCTCCGTCAAATAAATAAAATCTTTAAAAAAAAAACCCTCATTTTGGGACAAAATTGCTATAATTTCCATCCACAAAAATGCATTTCCATTCCTTATAACCTCTTTTACTGAAAGCACATATCCTGCTTTTCTTGCGTAGAGAGATACTCATTATATCTAGTAGCTGTAATCACATGTACAAATTAGAATTCTTTTTTTTTTAAGATTTTATTTATTTATTTGAGAGAGAGAATGAGAGAGAGAGAGCATGAGAGGGGGGAGGATCAGAGGGAGAAGCAGACTCCC